AACCAGTGTGATGTAAATGTTCCTAATTCTATATGAAATCAGCACATCGTACCCCATAAATGCATTAATGTATACATGATCTATGTATTTACAATTTAATAAAAAACAATTTAATGGGGTGTCCTTGCAAAAACACAGTGTCATCCCCCTGGGTTAAATAAGGGCTCAGAGAGACATGTCATTTCACTAGTGACGGGTGCATCCAAAAAAGAACACACAAATCATTTCTAAAAAATCAGCAGATTGGAAACTATTAGAGTCAATTGATAAGCCATTTGCACTACATCTGAGATCATTTGTTAGGCAGCTTTATAATACAACACAGCTTAGTTTATGTGGAGACTCACAGGAAATATCATTTGAAAGTTTTCATTTATATATTAGTGTATGTTACAGAGAATGAAAATTAATTTTGATGATCTCTTGAGAAGAACATAATCTGAATCTGTTATAAATCATATGTTCTTCAAAAAAGAAAAGAAATAGCACTGGCTTAAAAACTATGCAATTGGTTCCTAATGACTACAGGAGCTAAATACATAGGTTCATAAAATTATTTAACACATTTTTCTTAAAATAAACAATTTCAAAACTTTTAGAGGGCTTCATACAGAACATCTAACATTTAAACTTTCGTGCTGGAAAGGTGGCAAAACTTGCGGCTTCTCAAGAATAAAAGTGGATAGCATACTTTTCTATCCTCATTCAACACTTTTACATTATTATTAAGGCATGAGAATGAGTACAATCAAACCTCAGTTGATGAGACTATTTGAAGACAAGAAGACTTTTCCCAAAGCAGTTTCTTTTCCTCATTATAAAACATTAACCTTCCTCAGTGATTCAGCAGGTCAGTGTCATCAGCTACAAATATCCTCCAGGGTATATTCCCCACCTTTACTAAACACCAAAGCTGTCTTGTTTTCTGCATCTTCATCTCTAAAAAAGGGAAGTGGGGTGTGTGCAGTAGGGTGGGGTGTGTGGGAGGGAGAGGGTTGGGGGGAGTACAATTATTAATTCATGGTTCTCTTAGCTGGGTTCCAGGTAGCTAAGCCACTGCCAACATGAGTTCAGGGTCTGGAACCAGGCACGTCTGACCCTGGGAATCACGAGACCAGGAGAGCCCTGAGGGTCTGCCTCTGCTGGCTGTTTCAACCTCATGTCATTTCATCTGGACGACTGATGGTCTTTTCTGGGGTGAATCTGTGTCAGTCTATCCAAAAATTATGGGCTCTGAACTCCTGGGGTCGAATGTATTTTGGTTAGATTCCATATTTGCGCTGTGCCAACCTGATCTCAGAATGCCAGGAGGTGTGTGTAGGTGTCACAGAATAAGTAAGCCCTCCCCTATCTCTCCTTCAGACCTGCTGACCTGGATTCTCTTTTCTGCAGAAACCTTTAGTTCCAGTTTTTTTGATATTTTAGCAGTTCCCCATGGCAACTGGCTCAGAAACCTCTGCTGCTTTGCCCTGTTTTCAATACCTAAGTGAAATGTATGAGGAGTTTGTTTCTAAGCAGGTTTGGAAAGTCTGGTGTGAGAATGAGGGGACTAATTTATATACTTGCACTTCATTTTATGTCTGTTTTTGTTTATATCTTTCCTTAAAGCAAATACATAAAATAGTCATATACACTGTATATATAAAAAACTATATATAATTCTCCTATCATTGGGCCTGTATAGTAGATATTTACTTATGTGTGTATATATAATATACAGAGGATGCCAAAAAATGTATACATATTTTATGAAAGGAGAAAATTGTATTTAAACTGTAATACTCAACATGTACTGATACCAAAAGACGAATCTGAATCATAGTTGAGTACCTGTTACAACTGCGGAAGTCACATGTGACTTGAGTCTTACAATAGTTTTTTTCTTTCTTAAAATGTGTATATATTCTTTTTTGTACCTTGTATATAGAATCTTGACATTTTAAGGAGAAAGCAGGATAATTCAGGATAGTGGTTTTGAACTTTTTGAAACCACGACCTTAAGCACAGCTGTCAGGAATTCCCAGCCCTCATCAGCCCCAGGGGCCAGGTGTGAGGGTGAGAGAAGCAGAATGGGAGGAAACCGGGCTGCAGGTCCCCAAGAGAATCTTCCAATTGTTCTTAAAGGCTGGCTTTGGAGAAACACAAAATAAAAGGCAAAAATAAACAAAGTAGGGCCAACAGATGACCTCCTCGCAGGACTGCGTTCTCACTGTGCCTCATACACTGGGACTCTGCCATCAAACACCCGTCACTCTGCACTGTGTTCTTGAGGGAAGTGAGCCCTGGCATTCAGTTAAGCTATGAGAAAGTATCCACATCAAATGTGCCCTTCTAGCCACTTTCGAATGTATAGCTCAGCGGCATTAAGTGTACACACCCTGCTGTGCAGCCATCACCACCACTCAGCTCTAGAACTTGTCATTTTCCCAAACTGAAAAAAACTCAGTATCGGTTAACAATCCCCCACTCCTCCGTTCCCTGGCCTCCTGGGAACCACCATTCTGCCTTCTGACTTTATACATCTGACAACTCTAGGTATCTCACGTAGGTGGGGTCAGTGTCTGACACATTTCACTTGCCATCTTCAAGGTTCCTTCATGTGCTAGCTCACACCAGAATTTCCTCTTTTTTTTTTTGAGACAGAGCCTCAAGCTGTCCCCCTGGGTAGAGTGCCGTGGCATTACAGCTCACAGCAACCTCCAACTCCTGGGCTCAAGCGAGTCTCCTGCCTCCGCCTCCCAAGTAGCTGGGACCACAGGCGCCCGCCACAACGCCCGGCCATTTTTTGGTTGCAGCCGTCATTGTTGTTTGGCGGGTCCGGGCTGGGGATTCGAACCCGCCACCTTAGGTGTACGTGGCTGGCACCTTAGCTGGTTGAGCTATAGGCGCCGAGCCAGAATTTCCTCTTTCTAAAGGCTGTGTCTATACAGCACCTTTAGCTTATCTGTGTATCTTCTGATGGACACTCGGGTTGCTCCTACACTTTGGCATTATGAATGCTGCTGTGAATGTGGGTGCACAAGTAGCCTGTTCAAACCCTGACTTTCACTTCTTTTGGGCACACATCCAGAATTAGAACTGCGGGATCACACAGCAATTCTCTTCAGTTTTTTTGAGGAAATGCCACACTGTCTGGTTTTGAAGTTTTAAAAAATTAATAAACTTTACTTTTAAGAATAGTTTTAAAGCTGGGCATGGTGGCTCATGCCTGTAATTCTAGCACTTTGAGAGTCTGAGGGAGGAGGGTTACTTGAGTTGGAGACTGGTGTAGACAACATAGACAGATCCTGTCTCTGCAAAAGTAATTAACTGGATGTGGTAGTGTGTACCCACACTCCACGCCACTCTGGAGGCTGAGACAGGAGGATCACTTGAGCCTAGGAGTGTGAGGCCACAATGAGTTCCTCTGTACTCCAGCCTGGGTGACATAATGAGACTCCGTCTCAGTATAAAAAAGAGTAGTTTTAGTTTCATATAAAATTGAGCAGAAAACACAGAAGTTTTCCACCTCCCCATCCCCATGCATGCCTGATGCTCAGTTTTATAGAGACATTACAGGTGCGTGGTGACTGCCTGCTCTGTCCTAGGCTATGGGGAGTGACCAAGGCAGACCCTTCCAGGTCCAGTAGGAGCCTGAAGTCCTGATTTACCGGGGCAGTCACAGCATCCTTCTTTCCTTCCTGACGGATGGCAAAGGTCGTCATACAGGAAACCTGACATGTGAACATGGAGATCTGGGGATGGGCAATGCAGGACGGAGCACAGAGGAGCCTTTTGTCCAACTCCTTTCTTCACTTTCTAGTGATGATGCTTTGTTCACTAGTGACCTCCCTTCTATGCCTAGTGGTTGACACAGCCGGCGTTTGTGAAGACGGCTCATAAAGGAGAATGAAATCACTCACAGCTCCGCCAGCCCCAACACCAGTGTGGGGTGAGCATCATTGCAGACCTCGTCTGTCACCTACTGCTTTTTGTCTTATTTTCCTGATTCTGTGAGTTCTACTTTACACATGAGCATCTAAATCTATCTCCAGGTAAGGTTGACTGGTTAAAGGTTAAAGAAAAAGAAAAGTAAATCTATCTCCAGGATTTTTAAGTCTATTAACATTCAGGCAATAGATACGTTCTTTCATCACATATCTTGGCAGTTGCTTTATTAACAGTGATAATTCTCAATGCCAGGGTTATAATAAAAGAACTGTAAATCTGAAGTCCTACTTTGAATGATAACATTTACTATATCCAAGTCCAATATTATAAATCACAGTGCTTACTCATAGATTTAAAATGCCCAAAAATCTCTCAAGTGCTTCCTGGACAGCATCACTCATACTATTTTTATACTTGACATCAGCTCAGTGAAACAAGAAAAAAATGTTTAAAATTCTTACAGTAAAATCTCAGAAACACACAAAATGCACATCCTGTACACTCATAGTCGCACAGGTGCGTGTGCATGCGCGCTCACACATTCCCAAGTGTGTGTCTGTTTAGCTCAACTCGGCTACTTTCTTCTATTAATCTAATGATATTCTATTAATCTAATGATATTAAACACTGAAGTAATACAGTTTTCTACCTTTACCATTCATCCTTTCAATCACAAGACATAAAGCAGAGGTTCTCCAAGTGGGGTCCCTGGACCAGCTGCATCAGTATCACTTGGAAACTTGGTAAAAAAAAAAAAAAAAGCAAATTCCTGGTTTGTACCAGACCTCCAGATCCACCAAATCAGAAATCTGAATGAGGCATTCCCCACCCCCCAATCTGTACTTTAACCAGTCTCCATGTGATTCTGACATAAGCTGAAGTTTAAGAAACCGTGAGTTGGGGAATGGCCAATACCAGAGTCCAGCCTTTCCTCCTTTCCTCAATGGTAACTCTCAAAGCACTTTGTTAAAAAAATGTAACTCATGTGTATTTGGGCTGTTTGTTACTATCACCTAAGAAAACATTTATCATTGTTTAGTTAAGGAAAAGAAGGCTTAGTCCAGACTTACATATGATTTTTCCAGGTCCAATGCTGGCTCTGAGTCTTAGGAGGCAGGGGACTGGGTGCAGGGTGAGATGAGATAGCTCTGGCAGTCCATTCAGACCTGTACCCCAGAGCTTTGTGGGATGACCTGTGACAGGTTAGGGACAGGTCAGTGAGTGTCCACCTAAGTGGGCAGGAAAAATTGTCCATCAGCAGAGTAAACAGTGCATGTGAACGGTTCCCTTCCCTCCTGCTATCTTGCTTTTCACGACTGCCACACTAACGCACTGTGCCTCTGGCCGCGTACCTCCTGACCAGTGCACATAAGCTACGTGTGACACCACAGCCGGTGGCACCAATGCCTCAGCGGCATCAGGTAGAAGTGTTTTTCCTTGAGGTATTTCCTCTTCACTGCACACTCCCCTAAACCCCAAGGCAACTTGGTGATAGGTCCATGTTTAATCAGTTCTCTCCTCTGCCATCTCATGAATGTTTTCTGCTATCAAATCAACACCTCAGTTTGAAAAACACACGCGTGGCTGAGCGCAGTGACTCATGCCTGAAATCCCAACATTCCAGGAGGCTGAGGTGGGAGGATGCTGTGAGCTGTGAGAATGCTACTGTACTCTATCTGGGTGACAGTGAAGCTGTCTCAAAAAATAAAACAAAACAAAAATCCCACATGTGATTACTGCAAGGATAAGGAGAAGAGATTCAGGAAGCAAATATTCATTCAAAAATTCTGACCAAAATGATTCTCAGATGCCTCAAATGTGTTTATTTTTTAAATGAATAATATTTATCTTTTTCTGATAATACATACTTATTGTAGAACATTTGGAAAATACAGAAAAGTATATAGAAAAAAAGATCAGTGGTAATTCTGATGCTGACAAATCACAAAATAATGATATTTTGATGTATGGGTCCCTAATCCCTTCACTGAAACTCCTGGGGCAAGATACATTTCAGAATCTTTGTTTCCACTGAGTTTTGGTTTTCAGAGAGTAATATAATACAGCTACCAATTATTACCTATCACCCTCTGAAAGGATGGAGTAGCACCCCATCATTAACCATATTCTATGTTTCTGCACAAAAAATAGATGATTATTCTTATCGAGTGGAAAAAAATAGAGCCAACATTAGTTTAGGTCAGGTTTTTCTACTAGAGAAATGACAAAAGTCCTTCCCCCCCAAAACCCTCTTTTGAAAACTTTTGAATTTTGAATTAGTGATGAGGGCGTTGTCAGGTTCAGGGACCAGCTGTCAGGCTTGTGTTCCCTGGGTCTTGGTTCCCAGTACTGGTACAGTCAACGGACTATATGCGTAAGCTGACAGAAACATACAAGCCAGACAGCAAAGGTCAGTAAGCACAGCACATCCGAAGAGGGAGCAAGCCTGTCTCCTTGAGGGGAGGAGACCCCGAGTGTACACAGTGAACCCCCAGCTGGCAGAGAGCAGACTGCTCCAGAGAGGAAAGCAGCCCCCAGCATTACGGTCTGGTCTATGTGAATTCCTAATAATATGCTAAATATTCATGAATTTTGAAGAAGAGTTCCTGGAATGGCGAGTCCTTCCCATTTTTAAATTGTAAGTCAATTTCCAGGGGTGTCATGGAGGGGGTGGGAGTAACTTTTACTGTGCTAATGAAGGTAGATCAATTGAGGACATTTGTTTTAGTTGTCCTTTTCAGATACACAAACATATTCAGTTTCATTTCTATTGTTTCATTTAATTATGAAATGAAATGTGAGTTATATGAAGGTGAACAATGCCCCAAGTTATTGAAAATTATTCAAAAACATGCCAGGCATGATGGCTCACACCTGTAACCCTAGCACTCTGGGAGGCCAAGGCAGGCAGACTGCCTGAGCTCAGGAGTTTGAGAACCAACCTGAGCCAGAGTGAGACCTCGTCTCTAAAAAAAAAGCTGGGCATTGTGGCAGGTGCTTGTAGTCCCGGCTACTTGGGAGGCTGAGGCAAGAGACTCGCTTAAGCCCAAGAGTTTGAGGTTGCTATGAGCTGCGATGTCATGGCATTCTACCGAGGGTGACAAAGTGAGATTCTATCTTAAAAAAAATTTTTTTAAGACAGAGTCTCAAGCTGTTGCCCTGGGTAGAGTGCTATGGCATCATAGTTCACAGCAACCTCCAATTTGGGCTCAAGTGACCCCTTTGCCTCAGTTTTTCTATTTTTAGTAGAGATAGGGTCTTGGTTTTGGGTCTCTCACTGTCCCCCAAACATATTTTTTAACACCCATGTAACATTATATCCCATGTAATATTATTCCCCACAGAAATGCATCTTATTTGTTAAACTATTTCTTGTATTTGTTGAATTTCAGATTGTTTTCTTTCCTGTTATTGGAAAAACACTTTGCGGGACATATCTAAATATCACATTGTCTAGATTTCCGAGCATTTTCTTAGGTAGATTCCTAGAAAAAGAATTATTGAGTGAAATGGGACAAACGTAAGGGTCTGGGTGACTTTTAGAAACCATGCACCACTTTGCATCCCCCCAGCAGCAGGCCTGCCTATTGAATGCAATTACCAACTTTATCCCAGGCACTGAGAAAGACACTCGCACCTCACAGATCTTCACAAAATCCTACCAGTGATGACCAAACTTAGCAGATTTTATTTTTATTTTCCTTATGCAGAAGATGGTGAACAGCTTGCTGTTTTTCACATACTGAGAGACACGGAATCAATGTAAGTTTGCCTCATGGCTGTCACTGGCCAGGCTGAGGCGGATGTGGACACTGGGAGCTTGTAGCTGGGGCCTGACCATAGAGAAGGGCATGGGGGAGCTCACCAGGAACTCAGACCATCAGAAGAGAAAGTGCTGATCACCTGCGGGCTGACAGTTCACCTCAGAATGCTGAGGGTTGTGTTTCCCTCCCTCCTGGTGGTTTCCTATTTCTGGGACATTCTGCTGTTCCTCAGTATGACCTCAGACTGCAGAAAGAGATGTGAAGACAAAATCAGACCAGACCAGCTGGGGACAGTGACTGAGCCACGTGCACGCACTGTGCGTCACAAAGGTGCCAGGTGCCTCACAGGCACTGTCTCATTTATGCTGAGCACACTGGCATGAAAGGTAGTGGCAGCAAGTGTGACTGTATGTGCTCACTCCCATCAGCTGGTGAGTTTGGAGGAATTTGAGCTCGGGAATTTCAAGATCTATTCAAGCCTAGTGTCTCATTATCGCGATGACTCCAAGTCTAGATATAAATCACAAACCGCATTTTTTTCATTCTTTTGACAGCACCATATATAGCATATACACACATCAGAGAAAATGGTGTAAGTGGAGTCTAAGACAACACTTGATAATACTAAACTCTTGGAAGGTCCGACGGTGACAAAAGGGAGGCTCTGTCTCCTAGAGCACAATAGAGAGGGTCAGAGTCTGTCATGTGCATGTGACACAAAACAGGGAATACGTGAAGGAAGACACAGACACAACGCAGACCTTCAAAACACAAACATACATGCACGTTCCTCCCAAATGTCACCGCAAATCAGGACTGCTATCCAGGTCCTTGTATAGCTGTTTCTAATAACGTGTCTTTCTCGTTCCCCTTTGTATGTATTTTACCTCACAGGATAATTGGTGTAGAGAATGCCATGATTTTTATATGCCAATGAAAGAAAGATGAAGAGACATTTGTCATGCAGAAGGAAATAACCTCACTTCCTTATCTATAAACTCAATTTCTACACTCCCTGTGCACTACATTAATGGCTAAGGTCTGTGGGGTAAGGGTACAGAAAATCACAATTTTATTTTAACTGTTCATTTCCAACAATTTTATCTAGAAATAAGGGTTGTTTCTATCAAAATGACCAATAACGAAAAGACCACAGATATATCAAGAGGTGGTGTGTTCCCTTCACTGTGGCTTCTTTTTATGTTTTTAGTAGCATTTTCCTGATCATTGGTTTTCAAAGTGGGTAGAATGGCCTATAAATGATTTTTCTTTGCCACGATCAGCTATAAGGTTAATTTTACAAGCACACCAGGACTACATGGTGTGAAACACAAGTGATCACGGAGGAAACAACCCTGCAAAGAGGAGACTTTGTTTTTTCTAAAGAGTCTAATTACTTCCGGGGAAATCACAAAAAACAAACTGCCACTAATCACAGAAACCATTACCAGAAGCTCTTTAGATACTCAAACTATACAACTAGCATTTGTAAAGCTAATTACAAATTTGGATTCTCTCATTTTAAAAATAAACTTTGAAGCAACCCACTTTTGCTTCAGTGCTCAATCAAAAGTCTGTGCAACTGGCTTGCTGTCAAAGTAAGAAAAAAATAAATAAAGTGCATCACTTGAACAAAGTTATTACTGTCAGTGTCACTAAATCCTGAAGGCAAAATAACACACGAGCTAAAAAAATGAGTGGTGTTACACGGCTCCATTATCTCACATTTACAAAAAGAGCTGATGGTTCCCAGCGTAGGGATGGAGGCCTTTCCCTCTCAGCAGCTTTGTGGTGTTGGGCACACTGCTCACTGCCTCAGAGCCCAACACCTCGTACAGGTTTTCTTTTTTTTTCCTTTCTTTTGGAGATAGAGTCTCACTCAGTTGCCCTGGGGTTGAGTGCCTTGGTGTCATCGCTCAAAGCAACCTCAAACTCCTCATCTCAAGCCGTCACAATGCCCGGCTATTTTTAGAGACAGGATCTCACTCTTGCTCAGGCTGGTCCTGAATTCCTGAGCTCAAGCAATCCACCTGACTTGGCCTCCCAGAGTGCTAGGATTATAGGTGTGAGCCACAGTGCCTGGCCTCTCTCTCACAGGTTTTCGTGAAGATTAAATGAGTATGCATACAAGAGTGTTTTGCAAACTTATGCCTCTGTTTATGTGAGGAATAAAGATATTAATCCCCATTTTCTAGCTCAGAAAACTAACCTGGGAAGATACAACAACAATAACAGCAAAGTCCTGAGTTAAGAGATTTGAATTTTATTTCTGAATTGGCCACAAATTAGCCAAGTGACTCTAGGACTTGATTTCTTTGGTAAAATGAAGGGGCTGGATAAGATGACTTTGAGATCTTCTTGAGTCCAGTGGTTGTCTGATCAGGGAGTTGGCCGTGGAAGTTATGGGGGAGACTTAGGAACGACTCCTAGTAGTCCTTTCTGGAGGCCAAGGTACCATGAGGCCAAGGGTGGAACCCTCTACTCCGGGGGCAGGATCCTTGAGAAGCCCCCAGCCCTCGAGGATGGGACAGACAGTAACTAACTCATTTTGTTGGAACTGAGAAGAGGTTGAGTGAATCCTAGGCAAATGGCCAGGACCTCTGGGTCACTGGAAGGTGATATTGGAGGAGCTTAAAATCGCGTGTTTTTATTAACTGGTACAGATAGTTTTTTATTAGCTAGTTTTTATTAACTAGTACAGTTTTTATTAGCTAGTTTTTATTAACTAGTACAGATATTTTGACAACTGGTATAGCCGAGTAGGTATATGCCAATTGAAGGTGAGTCTTGCTGACAGTCTCACTGCTGTCTGCTACATTGTCTT